TTATCTTTCTCTCATTTTTCATTTTTATTAAATATTATTCTTTAATTAAATATTTCTTTATTTAGAAATAAAAATTACTTTCAATAATTTCATTGCAGCAGAAAATATCCTTGTTTTTCGCATTGTGGAAGGTTCTATTTCCGTAAAATCGATCGATTCATTGCACGTGCAATTTCTGGGCAATCTTGCCGCAATTTACAGAGAGTTACACGTGCGCTCCACTCATTTTTGTCAGAATAGATGGTACCTACATATAGTATGCAACAAATTTCTTTCTGAAATACTAATAATTTTTTCATATAACTGTACGTGCAATTATATATTACACCATTACCACCGTAATTGCAGATTCTTCCGAAGGGAAAACATATATAAATTAAGTTCGAAGAAGTTATTTTGTACATAACGGAGATACTCGGTATTTTCGAAGCTCCCTTCATTCTACGTTGAAATTTTCAAAAGCTTAGATTGCTAACCTACGGTGTTGAAGTTGCTTTGAAGTCGCCATGAGAATTATTCAACAGGACCTTGATGTAGCTGCTACTATATCCCTATATTTCGGGCTTAATCATTTTCCCCTGTGTGCTTGCGATGCAGAAGTCTGACCTGCATCCTACCGCGCCGGAAGAGCGAAATTAGTTCCTCTTTATTGCGCCGAGGTGAGGTAATGCCGTTTACTTCGCTTTGGTATTAACTGCCCCGACATTAATTCACGTAGAAAGTAACTTTGTATCACTCTCATAGCGTCACTTGTAAGTAGCTGCAAGAAATTGTCTATGCGACAGCGTAGAATGTTACTTTTGTGAAAAAGCAATATATGCAAAATCATTCTATGACTAGCAATAAATGTCAGGCATATTTTTATTATTTGAATTTTTTTAGAAAGGATCATTACTTTAGTATGTTTATATATACTTTATATTGCGTACACTAGAATTTTTTATGCTAATAAAAAATATCTTTATAAAATGTTCTTGAAGAGAATTTAAATTTAATTCTTTTTTAATCCTTTTGGCTACTTAAACCTACGGACGCATATCCTATGCGTTCTCTCACTCGCGGCATTCATAATTCAGAAGAGGAACTGAACTCTTTTCTGACGGATATGCAGTAGCAAATGGAGCAGACTTTTGCGTGCCGCAATTGCAGCACGACCGGGAAAATTATTAAAGCCGGAAGATAAGGCGGTGCTATGTAGCGGCATAGTTGAATAATTCAAGCGACTCGAAAACGCTAATTTCGCCGGCGGGAAAGAGGAGAGACGTTCGCTTCGTCGGAGCACCTCATTTCATTCGACGACGACGAGCCTCTTCTTATTGGATTTAAGACGTTGAGTTAAGCATTGAGAACTGCGGGTGGATTCCGCTGGCGCATTATAGTGCAGCCAGAGCCGATTTAGAATCGATGCTTTATGATGCGCCGCGAGGTATAATTATCTCTCAGTTCATTTTATCTCAATTAATTCAACACAATGAAAATAATAATAGCTGCGAGTAATAATAACAGTTATATAGTGCCAAAGTATACTGAAATAAATGTAAAGAGATATATTAATGCGATCGTGTTTATGCGGAATTATTTCTAAAGTACGAAAGGCTAGCGAATTATATTTAGCTCCATACCTCATCAAAGTTTCATACAATCTCAATAGCACTTAAAGTCGAAGAAACGTAAACTTGCAATTGGTTGCGGCGACGCGAAAAAGCTTTTTCAATTCACGTAGAATATCGTGAGTTTATACAGACTGTCGTGTAGCGAGTTATTTAGTTGGCCTACATAGAGTATTCCACAGGGTTTCATTCGATCTTAATCTGGATGATAGTTTAGTTAATCAATACTTGTCGACATAATACATTGGAGTGCCAACAACTTCGCAAACTGAACGTGTAATTTATTATACGTTTTTTAAGCAAATTTTATCGTTTTTTCTTCAAAGTTATTATTTCTAAAAGATTTAATAGCTTCTTGAAAAAAAAAAAAAATTGCAGTGTGATCGTATTTTTCAGATTTGTACTATGAAAAAAGTCTAGAATAATCTGTATGTATAACTTATTTTAGTAAACTGTGAGACATGCCACTTAAAAAATTTCAAATTTTAATTCTTCAGAGTAAACACTCTGAAACATCACGGAAATAACATAACACTGAGCATCATGAGATTGAAAATATTGTATAAGTTAACAGAACAAAAAAATATAGAATTGTATTAAAATTTTAATTTAGTTAAAAAGGAAAGTGAAACGGTCACGTGACAATCATCTCCATGATTGTCATGATAAAATTAAAAGTATCGCGTCTAGAATTTTTTCATAACGTTTGAGAAGCGTAGTTTGATCTAAAAGATTACGTCTGTTTTTTATTCATGTACTAAACTGCATTAGAACTCTTTCCCGCTTTCGCTTTTCGTCAAATATTAAATACATATCTATCTCACTTTAAATTCCAAAAGTACACTATGCAGTTCAATCAAACAAACTCTATTAAATAACGAGGGAATCGAACTGCCTTTCTCTCATAAAACTTCTTTTCATCTACGATCGTTTGAATAACACATTCCAAAATCTCGGGCAGTTTTCCATGCTGCGATCTATGGAGCGCGCCATTGGCCGGATTCATACCGCGGAACGGAAAACGCGGAAAGCATAGACTATTGTTTTACACTGAGGGTCGCTCTCGTAACGAGCCAACCGAACTCTTATTGATCCGCGAATCAGACGGTGCGTTACTGATTTATGATCTTCGGTGAGAGCAAAAACGAATCGCTTCGATACCTTCATTCCATTCCTG